ATACCAATACCAGGGAAATTCCTTGATACTTGATACCCACATCAATACTACAGTAAACAATACATGTGTATCTACTTCAAGATACACTTCTTTATTCCTGTTTGCATACTTATTTTCAGGAAGCTAAACAGGTCATAAATCGCTCTCTAATATCTGCATTATATTGCTCTTTTTTTGTTTTTATTTCCCTCCAATTGCTGCCCAAAATCGACATTTTGAAGAAGCTAAAATAAGGATTTTCTTTAGCAAATATTCACCTTATATTATAAGTTTTCATAAAATGTAATGTTCTATAAAGAAAGATCTTCTGATTAAAGGCCTAGAAATTAAATACAAAACAAAAATGTCTCTACTTTTAGTTGTTATACGTCTAATTCTTCTTAGTCCACTAGCACAATTTTAGTTTTCATCTTGAGATGTTCTATATAAATAGATAAATATATTATATACATGCTGGTATTCATTTGTGTGTTTTCTCCCCTGCAGAACTATCTCCCCACTCAGCAGGACATCCTGCTGGCTCGTAAACCCACCAAGGGAATCCACGAGTATGACTTTGAGATCAAGAGCGTTCCCTTCAAGATGGTGGACGTGGGGGGGCAGCGGTCAGAGCGTAGGCGCTGGTTCGAGTGTTTCGACTCGGTCACCTCCATCCTCTTCCTTGTCTCCTCCTCTGAATACGACCAGGTGAAGAAAAAAAAACACACCACTGTTTCAAATGCTGGCCATGGCATCTTTGGTACACAAGCAAGCACACACACTGATAGCCTGATAAGTGAAACATTAATCAGTTGGTTCAGGCAGATAATGTGTAGTGACTTTTTGATAAGTCGTCTTTGCTTTGTTTATATACCCACTCGTATTCGGTTGAGCTGTTGTGATTCATACTACAGCAAGTGTAAATGTTAGTGTAAATCGGATTCAGTCAATTATGTATTGTGTTGACCATGGTATAGTAAGGTTGCACAAACTCTCAGCTTGATGTGAAGCTCAGTTTTAGGGGCATGTTTCAGTCGTGGGGAAACACAAGAAATAAACACAGGAAAAAAATGTTGCAATTTATTTATCTTTTCTTTGTAGCAGTACTGTTTTTGACATCTATTTTGAAAAATGTATGCATTAAAGATGTGCTCTTTCTATTCGAGGTGTGACCTATGTTAGAGGAGATAACAATCTTTTAAAGTTTGAACCATTGAAATAAACGTATAGGAAACATTCTTTGATTGAATTTCTTAAATGTGTTTATTATTCACTTCAATAAGCTTTATTGTCCCCTGAAAGCAATTCTGTTGTAGCATAAAAGCAAAGTGCGGCTAGCTATAAGTTGGGGATAGTTTAGCTTCTTCTGTTTTTTTTCTGCCAGAGAATCCTCGCAGCCAATCAGTTTAACTACTTAATAAAATAATAATAATAAAATCTAGTACCAATCAAAACAGTACTATCTGTACAATTGTATTCAACCCCACCGTTGCCGTTTACAGGTGCTGATGGAGGACCGGCAGACCAACCGGCTGCGTGAATCACTAGACATCTTCGAGACCATCGTCAACAACCGCGTCTTCATCAGCGTCTCCATCATCCTCTTCCTCAACAAGACAGACCTGCTGGAGGAGAAGGTGAAGAGCGTTGCGCTCAAGGACTACTTTCCCGAGTACACTGGGCAGGAGCACAACCTGCCGGACGTCCAGGCGTTCATGGTGGAGTGCTTCCGGGCCAAGAGACGCGACGCCACCGTGAAGCCCCTGTACCACCACTTCACCACGGCCATCAACACGGAGAACATCAGGCTGGTGTTCCGGGACGTCAAGGACACCATCCTGCACGACAACCTCAAGCAGCTCATGCTCCAATGACCCCTGTCAACCTGTGAAAAAATAGACAAACCCGCCCTGTGCTCCTCCTCGACGGGGACTCGGGAGAGACCAGCCTCAGAAAAATCCGATAGACGTCAGCGTTCTTCTTCAGCCGTTTTTATATTAGTTTTTACTCTCCTCTTCGAAGAGTTAGCCTTCTTGTTAGTTTGGTATGGGAATGAGTCAGTAGGGCAGACTGTCTGTGGTTATAAGCATGCCGATTAGATAACATCTGATCTTGTGCTGCTTCGTTTCGAGAGTCTCTCCTCTGGCCTGAGCGCTGCCTTCCAGCACAAAGACTCGCTGCGGCTTTTCTACTAACAAGGTGCCGGTGATGTTGCCAATGCCAGCGCCTGGATGTGGAAACTTTGAACAAAGCGGGCACATGGCCTCTCAACCAGATACACAACCTGCCAAACGACAAATACAAGAACGAATATTTAAACATGTATGCAAATGACAGTTAGATGGTCAAAATGCATCAAGCTCAGCTGTCCCTGTGTTATAATGCCAGTCTGTGTCCAAGCACTGAATTTAACTATTCCAAAATCACTCATTATTTCTGCCGCAACCTCCAGTACTGCATCTTAAACATTGTTTCAAAGCCCCTATAGTTTGTAGTAGGGTTTGCCAACTGATCAGGAGACTGCAAAACTGTCCTTTATTTTCCTCATATTTCAGCATTCTTCTCCCGTCCCAGTCATTACTTATCCCGGCCTGAGATCAGCAGGCTAAACGTGCCGTCACAGGGCCATTTTTGCAGAGAGAAGGACCATTTTTATTTATGGTGAAAGAGGCTCAGAACGGTTCAATATTTGATGTTGGAAATGGCTCCAGCACTGGCACCTTGTCTTGAAAAATGCTATAAAATGACCACAAGACTGAACCTTTCCATATAATGTCTTATGTAGACCTAATCACTGTTTATATCCTGCATTTGTGCCTCAATAGAATTAAAAGCTGATCCTAGCTGCCTTTGACGGATAATTAAGACGCAAGTTTTCATGTCCTTCTGTTTTTTAGTTGTTTAGGACAACATTACCTTAAATGGCACATTAGGCAGGTGTGTCAGCAAGTGAACATGCAGTCCACTGTTTTCTCAGGTTTGAATCAGAACCAGCGTTTAATGCTGATGTTGTTGTTGGTGAACTAACTGAATAATTTAATCTTTATCTGGGTGGCAGAGCAGTGAGACTCGGCCAGTTCTGAGTACAGTTAGCTGGGTGGTTTTGGTACTGTATCCTCATGGCGTTGACCCCTGAATGTTGACCCAGAATCCCCCCTTTTCTCTCCTTATTTTCTTTCCATCTCTGATTAGATGCCTTGTAAAGGGACAGACCTCCCCTGTTTTCCTGGATGATAAATGTCTGTTAATAGATGTACAGAGATTTGCTCTAGATTTTATGATAATACTGTAACCAACATTGTAATAGTAAGGTGTAACTGACAGAGTTGTGTCTCAAGTCATCTTTGTTAAAAACCTTGAAGATTTAATTATATTCCACAAGCCATCTTGTTTTATTTAGAAGTCCCCTTTAAAAAACATTTTTGAATTTGTTATTAGTGTTGAACTTCAAGTCTATTCTGTAGGGAGCCAGTGTTTTTTTTATTAAAATGTTTTTTTCCTGCCAAATCACCCTATGCTTTAACATCAACAGTGTCTAGTTTTTTTCTCCCAGAATAAAGCTCCTGTGAGCTTTAGTTTGCTTCCAGTTCTGGCTTTGTATATACTGTAATCTGTTGCCATGTAAATAATATTCAGGTTTATCTCTGTATATGTAAATGGTTGTAGAAATTGAGTATTCTTTTCCATTCTGAATGTGTTTCAAATCACTGCTTTTCCAATGAAGATGACCTTTTTATGATTTAGATGTATTTTTGTGTAATCTTTTTTTCCTCACCTTAAAATTCATCCCTGTGCCAAGTCTCATGCCACTCTAACCCTATCAATAAAATACACTTTTCTAATGAGAGTGAGGTGGTTTTTTCTCTTAATTTTGTATAGTTAAGTATTAACATGGGCCCTAAACAGACGTTTATATCGTCTTTTTACTACTACTGTTATTTTATCTTAAAGGTCTCCTATTATACTGTTTTTCAATAATATATAATAGGTCTCAGAATTATACAAAACATGTCTCTGAATTGTTTTGCTTGAAATACCCAACAGATGTAGCAATGTAGCATCCCATAATCCCTCTGTTTCAGCCCTGTTTCAAAAGTGCTGATTCTGTGTCTGTTACTTTAGATGAAAATAAGGAGCCACTGCACCTCTGAGAGATATTTGGTTAAAAAGAACACAATGGCGCTCTAGGAGGAGATTCAGGTGATAAGGTGGGCTGGTGTTACCTTGGTTGGTTATTGGCTAATGGTTACACAACCCAAAAAATCGTTATGACATAAAGTGGCCAAAATCTGATCAGCTCATTTTCAGACATTTTCCTGAAACTTTCAGAATCTCTTTACACAGAGGGGACACATGTTTAAGTATAATATACATGAAAAAGTGGATTTTGCATAATAGGTGACCTTTAATTATACAAATGCATGTTAAGTAGCCTACCTTGTTTTAGTGTTGTAAACCATATCTCCTCTAAAACTTGCAATTACAAATCTATTTCTTTGTATTTTATTGTTAACACAAAATATACATCTCTAAAATGAAAGTCAATTATTGTTTCATGCCTACTTAATACAAATACTACTTGATTTAAACTATTTTTGACAGATGAGCAACTGTATCTGCGAAATAATGTCAATAAGCCTGAACTAGCGTATTAAACTAAATGTACCTTGTGTAGAATTTAGTTTAATACGCTAGAGGGTTTTGTGAATAAACATTCTAACTTAGTCTGAGAAAACGGTTCTAGCAGTCTACTGTTAGCCAAAACAACTAAAATAAATACAATTCTTGTTCTGCCAAATCATATCGCCAGTACACCTGTGGACAATTTAAACAATGAGAAGCGGTTACTTCAGGGATTAACGCTAAACCGGAAGTGAATCATCTCAAATGTGTCGATGCACCACACCCACTGAACAGACTAATGCACCGTTGTATTTCATCAAATGTTGTATATCAAATAACCCTTTTTAACCCGGTCCTTATGAAAACATTATTTATTTTCTCCCTTTTTAACCATTTACAGTCAGGCTCCTAGCGCGCTACCTAAAGGGTCCTTCCGTGTAAACGCAACATGTGAAATGTGTTTTTAGGTTGACACTTTGCGTGAATGCGATCATATTTGTCACTTTACATTTTTCTTTCACGCTTTTACAACTTTTTTCACTGTAGCTTCTTCGAACATGCTGAAACCTGATTAGCTGTGTTGACAGACGCGTGCAAAATGAGCTCTGGTAAGTCATAATCGCATACAATTGTTGTGTGATTCACAAAAGCAGAGTCACCAAGTGACCTAATGACACCAGAAATTACATGTGGTTGTATTAGCCTATTATTTTTGATTGGGACTCTCTGCACTGCTTAGTAATGAAATACAGTCTGCCGTAGAAGAGCCTGTACTGTAAGTACTTTTCCTTCAAGGTCAGCCCATATAGCAGTGGTGGAAGAAGTATTCACATTGTACTTAAGGAAAGGCAGCAATATTAGGCTATAGTGTAAAAATACTCTGTTAAAAGTAATGAAAAAAGTGTACTAAAGTAAAATGTTAAATCTGGACATATTTTCTATGTTCTACTTTACAAATCCATTCCACAACAGATTTGATAATTTACTCCTGGAAATGTTCTAAGCAACATTTCAAAGGATTTCTGGTTCCATCTTTTGAAATGTGCAATTTTGATGTTTGAAATGTGTATACCAATAAAAGTTAAATATCTTACAGTTAGAGAAAACATTTTTCAAATCAGGCAATTTGAAAATGTCACCTTATATTATATTATTGATTTATCATGAAAATGATCAGCAGAGAATTTAGATAAAGCAAATACATTTACATTTAGACATGATCTAAATGTCGAAGTGTTAGTCTACTTTGTAAAACCAGACACTGTTTTGCCGTTTTTCCCCTCAGAGGTGTGCCCATTCTGCGGGAAAGCTTTCAAAAGGTTGAAGAGTCATCTGCCACATTGTAAGGCAGCAAGCTCCAAAACCCCTCCAACCAAACACGATGTCCCGGGGAATCAGACAACATCGTCTTCTCAGCTCACTGCAAATTTGTCCAAACCAACAGCAGACTCGACACAGACATTGTCAAAAGAAACAAGTCCACAATCAAAGAAGAGTAATAAGATGTCTCTGGCATCAGCAGCAGAAACAACACAGCCATCGGCCCCGAGTTCTGCATCACTTCCAACATCAGCTAAGAAGAAGAAACAGAAGCTGTCCGAACAAACAGCCAACTTTCCCTCATCTACAACCAACTCTATTACCTCCCCATTGCAACCTTCCACTATCTCTAAACCCAAAAAGCAGAGTCTCCGAGCTTTGATAGAAGCGGAAAAATCCAAACCGGTTTCTAAGGGCACACTGGAGGGGACTAGATCTGCCTCGGAGGACCTGCCCAAAACTAACCCTGACAAAAACTCAATAAAAGTGGCCAAACCCACTAAAGCCAAGACGTCAAAGACGAAAAAGGCAGCTGCACAATCCTTTTCTACAGCAAAAGATACCTCTACCTCTCTGGGCTCTAAAGATGTCAGAGACAACCTCTGGGTGGACACTGAAGGGAAAGTGGAGGATTTATCTGAAAATGAGATGTTCTTGAAATCAAAAAGCGGTCACCAGGCCAGGATTACCCTCCAGGGAGTTAGAGCCATGTTAGGCCGAGATAATGTGGCCCGTCAGTCCAGAACCGCAAGCATACTGAGCCAGATAGATACTGCGGATGATCTGAGCAGCAAAATCAGTCTCAGTGCAGTCCCTCTCCCAACAGGGAATACAGACAGCTGCTTGGTTACAATTAATACTCTGTCAGACCAGCCACCTTGCACCCCTGCACAACATACAGAGCTACAATCAGTTATGAGAATAAGTTCAAAGTCTAAACAATTATCACTAATCCCCCTGCAACAGTTAGAGCTAACCCCCCCTGCAGCTCCCCTCTCTAGTGGCCCTCTACCGTCTCAGACGAGCAAGGACACGTCCCCTCCACGTACTGTCGGCATGCATGAGGGGATGAAGGTTCCAGGACTCATCACAATATCATCATCGCTCACAAGGTTTTCCCGCCCTCTGACGGCACTGAGGTGTGACACATCGAGAGCTGATGATGGGTTGAAGATGCGGCACGAGGTCAGGAACCAAAACACTGCTGATGGTACTAAAGGTGGGTGTTTGGCAGCTGGGCAAAAGACCTCCACACTACAGACTGAATTTAATCTTAAAGGCATACTTTTCATAATTGCAGGGGGTTGTATGAGGTGCATATCCATGTTTATGGTAGTTAGTTAGCATTCACTAAAGTCACACAATAACTCAAACTATTTAACCAATCAAGGCAGCAGTAGACTAACACCTGTGGTCTGGTGGCTATAAAGAGAGAATAGATACTGTCCTTGTTGGCAAGCGATGTTTGACAGCAAGGTAATGCTGTCAAAATATTGTAAATGTAGCGTAAAATCCAACTAATATTGTTATTTTTTAAGATGGCTAAAAATACATTTAGCTTTTGCCCCTTCTACATTAGTACCATGCTTAGTTTCAGTACCAGTACATCATCTCTAGTTAATACACTACATAAGTACCTCATACCACCCACTTCAAAAAACACAAACTATCCCTTTAAAGTGTTCTTGTTTACTTGTACTTCCAAGTTCGATTTGTTTTAGATTTTGACAAATGGTTATTTATATTTTGTTTATCTTCAGAGTGTATTCATCTGTTTTTGTTATGTCTTAATTGTGTAGGTGCTCTGACAGAGCGGAGTCTTGGACAAGTGAGACTGAGGGAGTTGCCTCAGTGGCTGGCCTACAAAACCCCCAGCCATCCTAAAGATGTAGTGAAAATGGTGCAAGGAGGTGACTAACACACACATCCAACACATACAAATATGTAATGCACATAGAACAGACCAGTAAATGTACTGTGTTTTTTTTGTGGTCTTTTATTTATGTATCTACCTGTATTATACAGAGTGTTTCTTTGAGAAATCTGTCATTTTAAACAAGATAACAATCATTTGGTCACCTACACTGAAGAAACGTTCATACGTTGACTTAAATAAATGTATTTTGTAAAAAAATTACAAATAATTGTATAAGATGAGTTGAAAGCAATAGTATTACGTTTAAATAACAAATAATAGGTTCAACTTAATACTATTGCCTTCAACTAGCCTAACACAATTATGTGGAACCTTTTGACATACTACATTTAATCAAAGTCAATGTTTTCCGTTCTCCTTTGAGAAGGTGTCAGGGAGGTGGTTGTCTGCCAGAAGCAATATCAAACTGACTTTGTATCCAGTTTTATGCCAGAATAGAACAGCCCACTTTTATCTTGCTCTTTTATAATTATTTGTTTTTCCTGGATGAAGGATTGTAGTCATTAGACTTCTTGATCTGCAGTTATCAGAGAAACAAACTGAGCAAAAGTTATTGGCAGCATCAGGGAAAAACTTAATTTTACTACGAAACTGCTTTATTCAGAATTTGTCCAGCTCACTCACCGGGTACAACTCTTTGTATAAGGTCTGCATGTTTATATCTCCTCTCCTCTTCTGTGCTTCCATCAGGCTGGCAGTGGTATAACAAGAAGTATTTTGAAGTGAAGAAAGGTGGAATAGGTGGCCTGAGCATGTTGTTAGCAGGATACTGTGCTATCAGCTACATCTGGAGTTACTCTCATATAAGTAAGTGTGAAGATTTCTCTCATTGTTGCTTTATGTAATGGGCTACATATATTTTGATATATTTTATCTGAGCTTGTTCATGAATGTTGTTGTTTGTTTTTTTCCAGAGCGAGATCGCAGGAGGAAGTACCACTAATGTCAGGGGAGGATGTTAGGACAAGCGTGACTCTGTATAAGAAAACCTCTATCTATTCTCTTTATAGTAATATAATTAGCCCAGATCCAAACATTTCCACATATGTAATGTATTGAAGCTCACCTAGATAGGAAACTACAAACAGCAGCTAGTTAGCTTAGCATAAAGACTTGAAACACGGACAAACAGCTAGCCTCGCTCTTTCAAATTGCTAATCTACCTACCAGCACTTTTAAAAGCGCCCTGTATTTTTTATCTAATTTGTTTTATCCGTAGAATAACAGTTGTGTGGTTGTATGCCTTTTCCCACCACTCCAGTTGCAGTATATCATTTTATCGTATTAGACATTTGTGGGAAATTTGTATAATTAGCGTATGACTTTGTGAGTTATGTCCACAAATGGGTTTTGTAAGGTCACAGTGACCTTTAACGTTTGACCTTCAACTTCTGATCAGTTCCACCTCGAGTCAAAGTGGACGTTTGTGCTAAATTTGAAGAAATTCCCTCCAGGCGATCCTGACATAATGTGGTTCACGAGTATGGGGCAGATAACCCAGAAAACTTGATGCCTCCGGTCACGGCAATTTAGCTGTTTCCAGGCCTTATGCTAAGCTAACCAGTTGCTGTCCGTAGCCTTATATTATAGACAGGAAGAAATAAGGTATTCATTATCTTATTTAACTATTGAACAGAAAGGGAATACGTTATTTATCTAAAATGTATAACTATTCCTTTAGAACTTGAGGGGTAGTAATTCTGACAGTAGCAGTTTCATTCAACTTTGCACCTGCATTAGTCATATGAAGTGAAAGCTGTGTGCACTGCATCAAATTATTTATTTACTTGTATATGTTTGTATTATTTAAATATAGTTTAATTTGTATCTTGTTTTACTTTGAGAAGTAAACATTTTCTAAAGAACCACTGAATATTCGTTTTTATTGTGATTTATTTAGTCCCACTGTTGTTCCAAAGGGCTCCACTAGGTGTCATTGTTGTGTTTTGTTACTAAAACCAAAAGGGCTTGGCAGTCAAATGTTTGCTATGCAGTTTTCTTAGCTCCTTTGTGCAGAGGCAATGGGGCTGGGGTCCATGAGGGGATTAAAGGGAACCAAGAGATTTTTTAACTTGATTAAAATCTTGCTGTGGCAGTGCAGATTCAGACAAAAATGAACATGTCCTGACTTCAGAATGTGCAGAAAGATCTTATCTAGGCTAACAAATGTGTTTTTCCTTTTGGATATGCTTCCCTGTCACATGATGTTATTATGCATGCTTAGTCTGCCGGTGCCTGTATGTGAACACTCACAGAATAGTAATGGAGGGACGCTGAAGGAGGATCTGGTCTGGACTGCAGCGTATTGTTATTGTATTCAAAATTAATTTATTGTTGACTCTCTTTGCTGCTGTAGTGAACACACATTGGCTACAAATGAAGAAATTACAGTATTTTTGTAACCATTTTTCTCGACTCCACTTCATAGCCAACACAATAAAAAATAATTTCCATTTTCTCATTTACTTTGTTCGTTTTTTTTTTTACATTCTTTTTTTTTTCTCCATACAAAAATTATAAATATTTTGTGTTTCACTTTTCATTTTTGTACAAAACAACAAACTATACAAATCAAGTGAGACAAAACGACAGTGAAAATGAAGGAAGAAAAACATCATTGAACTCAACAGGGGAGGAAAAAGCACAGTATGTTTCAACCAGGCCCTCGGACACTGAAGTGCATCCAGATAACATGAACCAGCACTTACTAACTTTCCCGTAGAGCGCTATAGAGGCACAAAGTCTTGCAGCAGCCACTTAAATAAGCAAATCTCACATGACCCTTACATGACAGAGATTTCCTTTCAAAGAGGGAGTTTTTTTCTCATTGTGAACTGGTAGATATAGGAGAACTATAAAGGTTGAGGCAGAGATACAGGCTTGCTGCGATGGCCACTGGCACTCAGACACAAAAATAAGAAGTTTGTTCTCTATCCCCCCCCCCCCATGCAAAAGGCCTTCAGTCTGCTCCTGTAGCAGATAGGTGACACTATCCAGAGTCAGCGTTTAACCAAGCTTTGGTGCTGTGTCGGTTTGTAAATTGCTTTGTCTTGCTTCTACTATAGTGCAGATCTCTGTAGGTTTGCTAAAAAATGCACTTAAAAAAAAAATACTTGGCCAATATTTCATTCTATAGCATGATAAAAATTGAATGATAAATTCAGTTTGGACTATAAAAACTACAAAAAAAGAATCAAGACATAACCATTACACACTAGGAGCTTTAGGGGCACAGCTCCAGAGGAAACACTACAAATCTGTTGTCCCCAGCACAAAGACGTAAAGATCTGACTGGGATTCTGGACAAAGCCACTTTTTCTCCTATTTCGAGTTTTGGTTGCGCTGCTGAGAGGGTAAAAGAGAGGAAATGCTTTCAAACCAACTGGAAAGTGATGAAAACATCCTGTGAGACTGAGTGAACGTGAATAAAGTCAAGAGTATGCTAATCAAACAACCCAACTACATGAAAATATAGTCATAGACCAGTGTGTATGTGTCCAGAGTAACACACACACACTGCCATGTCACTGTAGTAAAGCATAGATAGCTGGATATGATCAGTATATAATTATATGCAGAAGGCAGATCAACATACGTACAATCAATGACCCTTCAGGATCATATAAACTAATGACCATATTGTCATCTTCACGAAGTCGGGGAACAACAAACAGTCATCTTTTTTTAATGTCATTAAAAAAATTAAAAAAATATGAAATAAAAAACAAAACAAAAAATCATAATGTAACATATCTTCCTCAATCTGAGGACTAAACTCCCCCTGACACAAACACGCTGTGAAATGATAAAAGTGGTTGAGATCGAGTATTTGTCCTGTGTCTGTGTCGGGGCTTGCATACCTTTAAGGTACAAAAGAAAAAAATGCCAAATAAACTGTGACTTGAGCACAAGAAAAAAAAGCATTGCTGAGTAAAGTAACACTACTATACATGTTTATATGTGACTAGTTTGACTGGTTTATAGAGTGATCGAGAGGTTATCCTTGTTGCAGGCAGCTGAAAGCAGGAGAACACATTTTGGTTTCGGTTCCAAATATTCACATTCTAGTTAGCCTAGCGTTATTTCAGCAAGCCACATATTCATATAGTTCCTGAAATAAGCAACAGTATGTTTAGTGCAATTTGTCTATGTGATTGTGTCTCTACTGAGCTTACCTAAGGAAATCTATACCTCTGAATGAATGAATCTACCTAACACGGTGTAATAAGCATGTATGCATGTTTGTAATGCAGGAACTGAAGCAGTGGATATTTTTGAATAGAGCTCCTTCATGTAAACACTTCAAAATAAAAACCTAGAATTAGGCACAAAGTCGTAATTTTGTCCCTCCTTTTTCAGCATAGGTAGTGGGGGGTGATTAACTGGCACAACATTTTAATAAGGTGTGTGTGAAGAGAGGGACTCTCATATTCATTCAAGTTACTGAAATTGCAGACTCTTAAAATGTTAAAGTAATCAAAACATTTTCCGTCTGTGAGTACATTGCATTGCACACATTCCCGGATGTTCATAGGTCATATGAAGTGCTTTCATGACTCAAACGCCCCCCAAAAAAAACAACGGGGAATAAAGACAAACTAAATACATGCTACATGGCCGGAGATGGTATCACAAAGAGTAAACCTCTCTTCACACAGATTCTGGGGGGAATACAACAAATATAACAGGGGAGATTGATACACAGGGGAAAAAACGATACATTAGGGATGATATCAGTCCTAACATTCCAAGATGCTGTTGACTGCCGCCTCGAGAGCAGAGTCTGTGTCGGCATGAGGGGGGGGAGGAGAGCTGAGGGGGTAACTGGGGCTGGATCTGCTGTGAGGACAGGTGGTGAGACCCCTCGTAGTGCGTCTGTCCTCTTGATGTTGCTGTGAAAGGGGGGGGGGTACCTTGGGGGTAACTGTTGGCAGCTGGGAGGCTGTTGTTGCTGCTGGGCCCGTAGTGTTGCTGAGATCGCTTCAGTTCCAGGACACTCTTGTTTTCTAAGAGCGGAGGGTGGAGTTTATCTACTGCACCTGGTCCTGCATCTCCACCCCCTCCCGGGTCTCCAAACCCGGGCTTGGAGTCTGTCCTGTGCGGTGACTCCGTGGAGCCTCTGTCCGACGGATTCAGGCTACAGCTGGACGTTGACTTGGAGGGGGAGGGAACTTGGAATAGTTTGGATTTACTCCCACAACAAAAGTCTTCCAAGAATGTGTCTTGGGGGAAAAAAAGTTATATAAAATTAGAGGTGCTCTATAACAAAAAATGGTTTGAAATAGTTCACACTTCCTGAATCCTAAGTGGTCGAAGTCTAATGTTCTTATACTAATGGCGCATTTCCACTGCAGCGCGTAGCACGGTTTAAGCGTGCCGTGCCAAACCCAGACCATTTTTTGTTGCGTTTCCACTAGGGGTGGCCGTCTTGTCTGCAGACTTGTCAAAGCATTAATTCATGGTTTTTACTAACCGGTATCAGTATGTTGTTACTTCGGCATCATTTTGAAACGTGTATTACAATTAAATCACAGTAAAATATGTTCATTTTGTTGTAGTTTTAGCCCCCTTGCCAGTGATTCTCTCACTAGTTTAGCATATTCAGCCCGGTTGTTGGCCCGGAAAGAACCACGATTTTGGAGGGCCAGAAAAACTGTGAAACAGTACCCGTTAGCCGGAAATACCCCTAGTGGAAACGCAACAAAAAACGGGCCGGGCACGGCACTGCACGCTTAAACCGTGCTACGCGCTGCAGTGGAAATGCGCCACAAAATCCAGGTTCTTTCCGGGCCAACAACCGGGCTGAGTTTGCTAAACTAGTGAGAGAATCGCTGGCAAGGGGGCTAAAACTACAACAAAATGAACATATTTTACCGTGATTTAATTGTAATACACGTTTCAAAATGATGCTGAAGTAACAACATACTGATACCGGTTAGTAAAAACCATGAATTAATGTTTTGACAAGTCTGCAGACAGACGGCAGGCGAAAAACCTTTTAAAATGCGTGTTTTCTGAATGGAGATCGGCTAAGCTAACGTTGTATATGCTCCGACCGTCCACACTCACAACAACGGCCTATACAGACATAAATAAACCAGCGACTGTATTCGCCATGACACAGACAGTCTGTGGTTTGTACTCGTTTAACTTTTGTCTAGTTTCTGAACAGATATGAGGAGCTGTGTGCTCTGAGTGCTAACAGCTAACGGCTGATGTTGGTTTTGTGTTTCGCATTGAAGATGACGTCACGGCTCCGCCTACACTGCGTTACTATAGTTACTACCCCAGTTCCTAAACTGTAATGGAAACGCAGCATAAAGTGAGCCTGGCCTACCAAGGCCTAACTATACCGTACTAAGCTGTGTGAGGCCCTGCAGTGGAAATGCGCCATAAGACTACCACTTAGTTTAGCTAACAGCCATATAAAGCATTAAGTATATGTGTTAGCCAGGGTGTTCACAAACCTTAGTTGACGTTTAATATTTTGTGACGTCGTTTGACAAACGCTTACGCAAGAATAGTAAGTCCCAAGACTGATGGTTTACCACTGTGTTGTCGGATCTTACAAGAGTGTGTTGATGAGACAGTTCCTGATTTATCTGTCTAAAAAATGCCATATTAGTGTCAGAATGTTTGAAAGATATGTGACTTGTGTGAAATTGGTTCAACTTTTACTTTGGAGAATATGGTAAAAAAGAATTGGACATATTCTGTGCTCATGTTTATGTCTCCGATTGAATTGAATAGACCTGTCAATATACTCCTAAGGGGGTCAGTCAGTCAGTGGTGAAAATCATTAATTTCAGTGCACTGTGTCCTTGCTGAACTATCTCTTATAAAAAGTTTTTCTGTTGAAAATGATTTGCTTTCTGTTGTTTCTCTTACCTGGATCCACTAGTACCATGCGCTTGTCTTGTGTCAGGTTGCTGCGCTCCTCTTGGTTGAACGTCCTGTCAATCATCACCATTTCTGATGACGGACTGGAACGCTGTAGGGAAAGGAGAGGCAACTTGTGAGCCCTGTGCATGCCACAACATGATACACCTGTTTTTGCAAGTATTTACTCGTGTGTGCCTACCTCCGCTTCCACCATAAGTAGCCGTCTGTATTTGTTAACCATAGCATGAGTCCTCTTCAGCACTTGGGTTGCAACTACTTCAAATTCTTCATCCACTGTAAAAAAAAAGAAGAAAAAAAATAAAAGAAAATTCAGGTACTTTTCATCTGCAAAAGCCACGCCTTGACATGCAATACTTCTGCAGATTTAGGGTGAAGCTAATAAATGCAAGGCTTTACCCTCTGAGAACTCCTCCTGGCTGGGTGGAGTTCCCTGGAACACGTGGTACGGGAGGATTTTCTGCAGTGCATCATCGATTGAATTGAATCGACGCAGATCTATAGTCTGAACTCCAGCATGATCCTTCTTCAACTGTTGTAAAATCCTATAGAGACGACAGGAAAAAGAAACAGGCTCATTCATTGGCTGAACTACAAGCTATACAAAAACATGGCAATATTTCCCACATAAACAAGTATGTAAATAGTACACAGTAAGTTCTATTCTCACATTTCTCCTCTTGTAAGTGGTGGAAGGGCAGGTCTCTTCTGAGCACTGATCTATTAGGAGAAAGAAAACACATTTTGCAAAACAAATAAGGTGTCAGAAATGAGCATAGTTGAGGCGGCTAAAACAGCGTTTCCTGAGATTTTTTAAATAAAAACGTAAAAGATGAATCGATTATCAAAATAATATTTCTGACGCTCTATTAATCGTTGCAGCTCCTGTGCATGATGGGATGACATACCTGAGAGTTCATATTTGAGTCTTGAGTCATTGTTGTCATGGCTAAAAGAGATAATTGAAAACAACAAGGAAACATTAAGTTTAGCAGATTACATTTTTATATATATATATATATATATCATGCATTGATTTTTTGACAAAGATTTGTCGGCCTTTGTTACCATGGATGCTGCTGAGCTGCACCTGATTGAGGGCAGGTGATGAAGAATTCTAAAAAATAAAAATGAAAGGGATGTCTTTCATATAAGCATTTTCAGGAAACAGATTATGAATGTGTAAAGAAAAACCACCGGTGATTATACCTGGCTGTAGTCTTCCTGTGTCCCAGTACTGGCTAAAGGTGACAGGGAGGTGAAATTCTGAGTTTGAGTGACCAGAAGGCGCTGAACGTGGCCCCCCTGCACTTGGCCTTGACCGCCGATCCCCGTCGTTGCTGGACCCACCAGAGTCAGCCGCCCGGTAGAGCACGACGTCTGCATGGGGGCTGGGTTCGCACAAGAAACCCCTGTCCATGTTTGAGTTACACCCCCTCCAACCTGACTCCTGCAGACTACTCCCTGGTTCAAAATGAGCTGTCCTCCCTGCTGTGGAGTAAAGTTCTGCCCCTGAACAATCTGCACAGCGTTCTGATTGGTAATCAGGGGGTTTGAGAACTGTCCAGGCTGTAAGTTTGTCTGGGCCTGCGCTTGCTGCTGCTCCAGTGATGGCTGCACTACGATAGAGCCATTGGCTGTGTATTGTCCCCCAGGAGAAGCCATGTTAGCGTTCACTACATTAGCCATGGTGGTGGAAGTGTGCTGAAGACCAAGGCTGTACACAGTCTGAGCCCCGGTTTGGAGGGGTTTAGGCTGGATGGGTCTAACAAGAGTCTGGGTCCCCCCCGGGCCTCTCTGGATGATGATGTTTTGAAGGGGGATGTTTTTGTAAGGTAGGCCCACCTGCCCTTGGGTAGGGGCGAACACCTGCCCCCCTGATGTGGCCCCCCCTGACGCTACAGGCGCACCGGGCCTCAACACGAGCTGGGGAGATCTCTCCAAGTTGCTCAGAGTCATCACACCACCCCCCGCCCCGAACGAGCCCAACACCTGGATGTGCTGGGCGGAGCCGTTGGGCAGCGGGGACACCCCTTGTAGGAACTGGCCTGTTGGGAAAGCAGCTGTCGCCGTGGTTACAACTCCTCCGCCAAAACCCCCCCCAGAAACCAGCTGGGAGGGGAAGGGTACCGGAGCCTGCACCAGAGTGGGGGCGGGCTGGGAGTCCAGTAAGGCCTCCTGAGCCAATGTCTGCTCTGTGATGTCGGCCTCCATAAGGGACTTCTGTAGGATGTCAAAGGGCTGGTCCTCGCCCCCAAGATCCACCCCTCCGGGAGAATTCCCAGGCCCCAATTCATCCTCGATAAATGAAAGGCTACCAGAGAGCTGGAGGCCTGCCCCTGTTGAATCCTCGCCGAAATCTCCCATTGTAGAAGAGCCATCCTTGAGGCCAGAGTTGGAGCCAGCCTGAATGAAGCATTTAGAGAAAATGAAAAGAGAGTTTGCATGTGAGCTGCATACAAGACAGACTTACTTGTAGGTCTTTTTTATAACCTATACATAAAGGGTAAACTATTGCATAACCTTTTTTTATGAAGGGTGAACAAATTTGGAAAAAAAAACAGTGGTTGTTGGATCAAAGTGCACTTACCGTGTCACTAGAAAAGAAGGACCCATCCGACCCGTAAGCTGCATTTGTTACATCATCCTCCTCAATCTGCAGAAGAGTTTAACAGAGGATCAGTGGATCCTTTATGCATCAAAGACAGTGATGTAATTACTCTGACAAACATATTAAGGAATGGCTGTGAATACATTATGAAAGAGTCACTCACAGACTTGCTGTTGCTGCCATGGAGATAGTCATTCAAAGCATCCACATCTCTGAAAAATGTGCGGAAGGAAATTCAACATTAGAAACATTTATTTGTATTTACTGTGGTTTAAGGAGTGACAGAATGAACCATAATTTGAATGCCTGAATGGGACATAGGATTACCAACTTCCCTAATTTATCAAAAGTTAACAAATAAGTTGGCAGATGCTTGTAGCTTTGATTTCAAAGTGGGACCCTAGTAACAATAACTAACTGTTAAAGCCAAACTTGAGTACAGATAAAAATGTGAGGCCACATTGTGAATGGCATGTTAATGACCAATATTAGTGTCTATTATGTTTATAAAAGGGATTTTACCCTAAAATATCAAGAAGATGGCGATCGTCCTCATCATCCATGACACCTGAAAGAAGAGGAAGGTATATCGAGATAGAAAGGAGCAGGTTAGGAGAGGGCTGATGTGAATTTTAGAGTAGGTAATTCATGACTGCTGGATTCATTGATCATGACAATAAACCTTAATGCACTTTGTTGTTATTCTGAAGTAGGAGCATATGTATTCTGTTTGTAGTAAGGACATCTCACTCACAGATTTCCAGCAGGACGCATGGATTCAGTCATTTAACACCCTTTGTTTTCTGGGCTGCAGGGTGAGAAACTACATTTAGTATTACATAAATAAACGTGTGAGAAGCAGGTTGTGGGAACAACGTATATGAGATTAAGGAAAATATGGGTTTGTGAAATGTGGGAGTGAAGAGGAAGCCAAATGTGTTATTCAGTGCTGTGGTAAATAGGCTATGTATGTAAGCGAAGGGCAGGATGGCCTTCACCCCCTCCTACAGATGTTTGTCTCACACGTAAAACTCCCACCCATTACCCTCCTCTGCTGTCCCACATTGGTTGTCTGCACAGACTGAAAATGGCCATTAGAGTGTAAATAACTCCACCCTGCTGCTCCATTTATACCATGGTTGTTTGAGTTTCTACATAGAAAGAGGTGTTGGCTTTAAGTTGTCAGCCTGCAAAGGTATGCAGCGATCTTAGTGCTTCATTATAAAAGAGGGACTACAAGCCAAATCCATGATCACTAATTTGATGCAGCAGTGAGGGGTAATGAGTGTTTGAATATCTTATGAGGTTACTATTTTAATTGTATAATTGTATTTAAGAAATGTGGAGCACATGGCAAGGGAATGTAGCTATATGTCAGAAAAATGTGGTCATTCATCCAACAATGTATTAAGATGATTTGAAGTCGTAGTTTATGTTGTACTCTGTTAAGTCATTGAGAAATACACTCTTATGTTGCTGCGTAGATGAAACTGCAATGCCACAAAATGGCTGTTACCCTGCCATAGGCTGTCCTTACAACAGAGCCACGTTCAGCCTCCATCTTTGGTTCAGGGAGAACAAAGAACGACAGGGCTGCTGTGCAAACTAGGCTCTTCTAACTGACTTTTAGAGACCATGAAAACCACTAAACGCTTCCTCAATTAAAGAATATTGTAATTCATTTAATATCCACACTAAATGTGCAACAATTTATTTTTCAGGAGATATGCTATAACAGGCAGAGGGGCTCCTGTGTCCTTTAAAAGTGGACACAAAGCTACAAAAACGAGAGGAAGCAATGACGACCTTTCCCAACAAAAAAGGAAACCAAACGATTAACACAGTGACATTTTATTTCACAAAAGAAGCTCCATATGTGGACTGAGTAGGTCAAATAAATACACTACACTCATTTCTGTCATCTATCAATGTATTTAAAAAGCAACGCAGTCGTTAATATACACGTAATCAATGTTAACAATTAAGTGAGCTACTTTTAACCACAGTTAAGCGGTTAGCTTACATTATTTCATTTTTAAAAAGACGACAGAGCTAAAGTACCTAAGCTGACTAAAAATTGCGTTTTAAGTAGCTCAAAAGCAAAGGATTTGCAGACATGTAGGCAATTCTGATCAGTGTTGTCGAAAATAAAGTTATATTTTCCGATACTTTGTACAGTTTGTATAATTTAGGGCTTAAATTCGTAGTCTCCGAAATCCGCATTAGCTTGAATGCTTCGACGCAGACCAAGCTAGTCCCTGCTGCAGTCCTGCTACTACTGCTGGTACCGCGGTTGGTTTAGAAAGCCAGCTAATGTACAGCTTGCGAGTTTTATTTCCAAAAATAGACTGAATCGACAGAAAGATAATCGCATTCAAGCAGCACAAAACGCCCGTCGTCCAGCCTGTGGCTGGTCGTCGCTGACGTGATCTTTCTTTCTCTGTTGGGGAGGCTTTCATTTGTCCTCAATGTGGCTCATCTGCCAGCATGAAAAACGTCACATTTGTCTCGATATACAGAACCGACGCGTTTCAACCGGGGGATTCTGTAGCAGCCCTTGTTCTGGTCGGGTAGCTCTGCGGACAGGACGCTCCGTAACATTGTAACATTTTAACAACTAACACCGGCCTGGTCTGGCTAGCTAGCCGCGGTGTCGACGACGCCTGTTTTGAAAACGTCGGGTGGATTCGTCGAAAATGCTAGAGGACTAAACCGTGTAAAGCCGTAAACATTTATCCCGATTAGCACAACATAAAGACGACTCAAAGAGGCAAACCCTTTACTCCTGTCTCACTCCTCTTGAAACCCAATATCTCCATTTGGCAACTTTTAATTTGCTCCCCCCCTCCTTCTCCTCCTCCTCCTTCTCCCTCTCCCACTCATATATTTTTCTCACTGTCCCTGTTCTGTCTCAGATAGATTTTTCTCTCCGCTCAAACTCTCTTCCCTCCCTGAAGGAAGGGAGGAAGGAGGTTGTGTGTGTTTTTTCCTTGAAATTTTTATCACAAAATTATAATACACTCAAAGGGAAACTCACCGTCATGAAAAAGCAGTGCCTTGTCAACGGGGTTTCCTCGCCATCACCGCACGGGTTGTTGGGGTAGTGCACAGAACAAGGCAACCCAAATCATCCTCAGCCGTGTTTACGACCATCAGAAATTTGAATAGGAATTTTATGGAAAAAATAACGACAAATAATTTATAGACATATTTATATATTTACATTAATTATAATAACATGCATCAATGCCATAATGAATAGCGGAAACATTTTCTTAGACTTAATCATTACCAACGGTAGAGGGCGGGCCTCTGGTGTGTGTGTGCCACACCTTACGTTGCTCAGGTATGACGATACCTATCGGGGAAATGTTTCTTAGTAAGACCTACCTACTAATCTACACATAATAAACTTTGAAAATATAACTTAAATAAAAAATCCAAAGTCAACTCATACTGTGAACCTTTTTACATTAAGATACTATTTTTATTTTATTCAGATAAAGGCATTTTAATGAATTCTTAATTATTTACATTTTTATCATATTCTATTCTATTGAGTGTGTTTTTGCACTTACAGTATCCTACATTTTATCTTTTAACTTCAGTTTCTCTGTCTGGTTTCCATAATACAAACTGTACTTGTCGTACAACATAAGTAAAACAACACAAAGAACATGCTGTAACGTACAGGCATCATGTATAAACCCAAAAGCACTATTTATAAGTGATAACAAAGAAAGTAAATTGGTAAAGAAAATAAACAAAACACAGAAAAAAAGTATTAATAATATTATTGCTATAAATAAAGGTACATATAATATATAATAAAAAGTAAATAAAGTTGTTATTATCATGGTCCAGATCACTTGCCGCTGTGACATGTCCCATACAGCAGGTGGCGGTAAGCTCCATTATTGGCCCGCGAAAGTCACGAAGAAGAAAATGCTGTTGTCACTTCCGCAACAACTGACAGTGCAACAACATGGAAGCAATGGCTGAACATAGCCAGGAAACGCGGGTTACCGGCGAAAGTGGCGCAGACAAGATACAAGAGCGGCTTCAGAGGCGACACCAGGCGAGGGCAGAGGATGCCGAGCGGAAGAAGGAAGCTAAAGAGAGCCGGTCTGTGGCCGAGGAAAACAGCGAGTATTTCTCCAGTACTTTCAACGCAGAGCGGGCCTCAATCGAGGAACTGCTATCCAGCTGCTCCGGAGCGGACCGTGCGGTGGTGACCCAAACACTGGAGGAGGCGACGGTCAAAACGCTGCAGCTGCAGAAGTTTCTGAACGACAGCATGTTGTTTCTCACGCAGTACGATCTGAGACGAGCCCAGGATGCTCTGCAGAAACTCCTCACCTCCTCAGCTGACATCAGAGAGGAGGCTCTGCCCAAGAAGAAGTTTGCCTTTCGAGCTCGCAGTAAAGCAACAGATAAGGTCTCTGCACCCCCAGTGACAGACACACCTGCAGTTACTGATAGCACCAAGGTGGATGTAGTAGCTCCGGCAGAGTCTGTGCAGTGCTGCTTCTCCAACATGGACAATGTGTGTGTGATAAAGACAGCAGAGGAGATCCATAAACAAGACGTGCTGTTGACTCACCTGACTAACTGTAAAGTGCGTCTGTTTGGGTCTCCTAGCACGCTGCACATGACTCACATTGACAACTGTGAGATCCTGTGTGGTCCCGTGTCAAGTTCAGTATTTGTTGATCACTGTAGGAACAGCACTCTGGCCATCCCTTGTCAGCAGCTGCGGACCCACAACACCACAGACACACAGGTGTATCTGCACATCACCAGCCGAGCCATCGTAGAGGACTGTCGTGGGGTTGGCTTTGCCCCATTTACATTTTCTTATCCCACCCTTGATGAGGACTTTATTGTGTCTGGATTGGACCGGGATCGAAACAACTGGAGCCAGGTGGATGACTTCAACTGGCTCGCTGCAGGAACGCCTTCCCCTAACTGGACTGTCATCCCAGAAGCAGACAGGAAAACCAACTGGGAACTCTAGATTTAAAGACCTTAACTTGTTAAAGTAACATGTCAAACAATCAAATGTTTAATTTTCAGCACAAATACACAATGCATCTTGTCTGGGTTATTTCACAGTTGCATGAAGGTTTTCAGTAGGTTGTCAGTTAATACAAAATAAAAAATGTTTTAAAAGGCATTCATGCTTTAGCTTACACTTGCCAAAAAGACTGAAAAACAAAATGCTAAAAAATAGCGTTTAAATGTGTCTTCATAAAGAGAATGCTCGACTCTTCATCCTTAGATTTGATGCCTATTTAAAACATTTTGTTTCCCATGCAGTACGAGCTGTTTGTACTTTTTTTGGTGGATCCCAGCCAATATACCTTGTAGTAAATAGTCTTTCATTTGTAATGCTGGATTTGTCAGCCAATGACTAACAAGAAACAAAATAAAACTATTACTACTAAAATGTTCAGATTAGTAACTATCGTGGTCACATTGTTAAAAAGAGATCTCTACCCAAAAAATTACTGAGAGGCTAATAATTAGTATTGTGTCAAAGTCTTTGAAGAGTAAACTCCTGTGCTGCTGACTAATCATTAATTGATTAATTGTCTTGTTAATTGTTGTTCATTTACTCAAATATTGATATCTGTCCTAAAAGTCAGGCTTGAATTTCCAGGAAATCTTCCAGGAAGATTTTTTAAAAAGGAGCCTCCTGCTGATACATTCTTACAGATTTCACTGTAGTCATTATAAAAGGCACAATTTCCTTGTCAAAAATAATATTCTGGCGCGAATAGAAATTCCAATATGAAAATTGCTGTCGTGGAGGGAAAAACATTCTGCTAACGGAGAAACCATTGTCCAAGAATTTACATAATAATGACAAAGCACATTCAAATGTAGAATACTGTTCTGTTTCCTTGTCATTTTAATAATGATACAAACCTGAAAGCTATTGTGTAATACATCTACAGTAACATCCAATATTCATTCAAAAGATATAAAACCACTCAAACCCTCACGCAAAGAATTAACTTAAAAGCACTCAATGGTACAAAAGCCATTTACATTTTTATTATTTAAGGGGAAAAAGGGTGAAGAAGGCCTGGAATGAGCCCCATGTTAAAATGCTGTGCATTAATGCTGCTGGCGGCCATCAACCTTGAATGGCACTGGCTCTGATCTACAACTTGCAACAATATCTTGTCTGTACTCTTGAAAAGTAACTGCCATTGAAATGAGACAAAAATAAATCATATTCCTGCTCTACATGTTTGTTTGTTTCTTGTGTTTCCTAATGATACCATAGCCCTCTTACAAAGAAACACAAATATTATGAAGTAGTTCAGAATGCATTTTGTACAATTTAAGCACGACAAAGATTACAAAAGTTGATGTACATACAGTACAGCCAGGGATGGACTGGGACTCTCGACCGGCCCACTTCGGTACCGCTAGTAAATTGTCAACGGGGGGGGGGCTAGTGACATATCCGACCGGCCCACATTGTCCGACACTGAGTAGCATACATCAGTGTATAGAAATAGTCCATATTTCTGTCTGTCCATCTTCTGTGGCAACATTTGTGAACACTACAAAAACAGATACAGAAGGACAATATTGAGAAATAAAACTAATAATTATAAATAAATAATAATTCACAAATCCTATAATTTTTTACAACACTTATCGTCATATTTCTTCATTATAGTTTACATGATTAATTACTCATGCTTAAGAGCAGGACTTGTTACTGTTCACTTAAAATTAACATCTGTATAAGATACATCAAAAATAATTCTGAAATTAAAAGATGATAATACAAAGACAGACTAAGACGAGACAAAACAAGACAGTAAGGTGACATTATGAAATTGCAAAGGGGCTGTGAGTTGAATTTGGCCCATTGTTGTAGCGTTGAGAGGAAAAAGAAAGTGGGAAGTTTGGTTTTAAATGTGCATATAGCATGTTTAATACAAAGGGAAACTTCTTCATTGTAATCTTGAGTAATTGAAGACAGGAAAAACAGCATTATTTTAATAACCATAAATGTAGTTATAAAAACAGTTAAAAATACAGATAAGGCCTGGATTAAAAATCTAATTAGAGAGGCAGCTTTGCCATCAATACTTATAACGGAATTTTGCAGCAACAACAACAATTCAGCTTGTGCAGTAAGCAATGGTGTGGTGAAGTATGAAGGAGTCAGAGAGGCCGTTCAGCTAAAGGCGCGGCTTTTGTCAACATAAGCATCTGACTTGAGTTTGTGCCAAACAGAGTGTTAATCTAACTGCCAAGATAATAAGTGACAATTAGACAATAAGGTAATTGAGAGCACTTAAAAATACTTATTGGCTTGTGAGATGACGTTTTCTACAACAATCTTATGTGCATGATTATTGATGTGTGATCTTTTGATGGGTTTTATCCATCAAATGCCTCAGTTTTGTGTTCTTTCTGTGAATGGGTTACTGGGGCGAGTGGTGTATTTGCTCCACTGGGAAGACATCCGGCTTGTGTTGAATGCCAGCAAACTGTGAATGAACATGTTCCATTATTAACTCCACTTTCATGTCCACGGTCTTTGTCAGGCTTCATCTGATGCCATTACAGCTCCACGGTGTGTTCGATCTAGGCACCCATGACCACGTGAACGCTCAAACCAATTATGGCCCTTGGCAACGGCTTACGATCAGGCTCATCTTGTATGCAGGGATTTCTGCAAATTGGTTAGGCTGCTTACAGAGGCTTAGAATGACGTACTGAAACTTTGAGTTTAATCATTAGGATCTTAGGCAATCCTCCACCTTTCCAGGAGAACGCAACATCACGATTAACCTCACCTGCGTGTTGGGGAGGAAAAAACGGTAAAAATTGGGGAAAAATTGCCTGGTGAAAGTGGATGTTTCTGTCACAATGGGAGAGGAGATAGCTTTTAAGAAATAACTTTACTACGCTGCTCCCGGTTTCTCCTGGGTTCTTCATCTCTGCTGTTTTTCTGTGCGATGGATTACAGGCTGAGCTGATTCCTATTTTACCTTTAGACCAGCCAGAGGAGACCCTGATAGCAAAGGGACCGGGAAACAGGAACTGCAGGTTGGCGTGTTCAACAACACCTTGGAGCTCCTGCTGTTCTAGATCGTAATTTTGAGTATTTTCTTTACTGGGTGAGGACACATTACAGCTTCAACAATGGCTTTGATGTTGGTAAAGTTTGATATGAAGAAGCGAGTAAAGCTCGCTCAGACAATATGGTTCCTGTACTGGTTCGCCGTAATGGCCGGCGTGCTGGTCTTCAGCATGGGACTGTTCTTTAAGATCGAACTGCGAAAGCGCTCAGAACTTATGGACAACAACGAGAGCCACTTGCTGCCCAACGTTCTTATATTAATGGGTCTAATAACCTGTGGCGTCAACGCTTTTGGAGGCAAAGTCTGCTACGACTCCCTGGACCCTTCCAAGTTTATAAAATGGAAGCCCATGTTGAAGCCCTTCTTGATGTTCTGCGTGGGGTTAAACGGCCTGTTGTTTGTCACAGCTCTGCTGTGTTTTGTGATGAGGATCCCGCTGCAGTACACCCTGGCTGAGGGGCTGAAGAACGGCATGAGGTTCTACAAGGACACGGACACACCAGGACGATGCTACATGAAGAGGACCCTGGACCTGATGCAGATGGAATTCAGATGCTGCGGAAACGACCACTACAGAGATTGGTTTGAGATTCAGTGGGTAAGCAACCGCTACCTGGATTTCAGCGCAAAGGAAGTCAAAGAGTAAGTGACGCAAATTCATTTTTACAATACAATACAAAGTGGCTTTATTGGCATACCCACATTTTAATTGCCAATACTGTGAAACGCGAATTCATAACTAAATCCTGCATCATACCCTTTAAGAATTTGAGATTAAATGTTAGATATTCCTGTTTTAGGTGACAGGAGAAAGGCTTAAAGAGGTTGGCATTTAAGTTGCATGTACTATCGCAGTGTGTCTTAAGGACCCTTTCACCTTTCGTTCTTTAGGGGTTAGTATAAGTGGATTTCAGGTGAAGGTCAAAGCAGGTACATTATTCCCTTTCGTCCACTGAGAATAACGAAATGATGACAGCAATGAGGACATGGCATTGGGAGCCGTGAGGGTGGAAGAGGTTACTAGGCAGTTTTCTGGATAAAGGTGAGAAGGAGGGACTTGAGGAGGTGATTAGGGACAGAAAAAGATTCAAAGGTCAAAAAGGCATGAGCGGGATTAACAACCAAGTCCAATCCTTAATATCCTCCAATATCAGTTCAGCCATTTATCCAATTACCTATGTCGAGTTGGTCATTTTTTTTCTGGTTGGGTTGTTTGTCAATAGGATTACTTACTGGCCTGATTTCTCATTAAACTTTGAAGAACAGTGTAACATGGGCCAAGAAAGAACTCATTTTATGTTGAAGCGGATCCGAATCATAGGGCGTCTACAAATTATTATTCACTTTTGTTAACATTCTAAGCTAGTGCATTTGGCCTTGACAGAGGTCTGTGCTCTTCCAGTGTTCTTCTTCTTAATAGTGCCGTGACTAGTATCCAGAACTGATCCCTATCCTTTATAGTGTTGTAAGTACTGTGTGTTCTGTAGTAATGCCCAAAGTCTTATCTGGGGCGTTATTTTTGGCTTGTTGATGTTTCTAAACACCACTGATCCATTTCTGACCATCTCATGTCTTAGTGATCCAATCATACCGTCTTTCCATTGACCTACTACCATCAATAACAGTTAGCAAGATCTGTGTAAGGCCCTTTAAACACAATTTGAGACATGTTATCAATAAACATTAATGGTTTTAATTCAGTCATTTACTGCAAACCAATTTACAGTAAATGAAAATGAGTCTTGTACACCAGTGACAGTGTTGTTTAACACAATAAAAAAACAAGGGAATAATATACAATTAACACAATTGAAGCAATACAAACCATTTAATAAACTCGGCAATCATCCAAATTTTGTGATGGTTTAAAGTTTGATATATGCTTATCCTCTTTAACAGAGATGTTACAATTCATTTGCAAGAATGTTGGGTTTGGAGTAATGCATAGCATTGTTACGATTGCCTTAAATACCTTATACTCATTAGATTTGTTTTAATTAGATTATATTCAGTAATTGAAATAAATAGTCTTGATTAAGGTCAGAGTTTGATCAATGCATGTATAGCTGACCAACAGCAGTTTGGTATTTTTTTTAAGATTCAAGGGATACTTTACAACCCAACTGAAAATATCTAATGCCCTATACTCATAGCTAGTAAAAATGCAATTAACTAGTTCACGCATACGTCAATACAGTTCCTGATCTTTAATCCCTTTCACCTCCCGCCAATCTTAATGAGACATTAACGTGGAACTTTGCCTTATCCTCTTAGCCGCATTGGGAGCAACGTGGACGGCCAGTATCTGATGGATGGAGTCCCGTTCAGCTGCTGTAACCCCAGCTCCCCGAGACCCTGCATTCAGGGCCAGATGACCAACAACACTGCCCACTACAGCTACGACCACTACACGGAGGAACTCAACGTATGGAAGCGCGGCTGCCGTGAAGCCATGGTGTCCTACTACGGAGGCTTGATGAACACCATCGGAGCCCTGGTCTTGTTGGTCACCATGCTTGAGGTCAGGGCCAGTGATGCACACAACACAAATATTCACACAGGAAAATTATAATTGTGTACCTCACACTACAGTCTGTTTTGTATTCCATAATTTTAAGTCCCGAAAACCTACACTATCACCTAGCTATCACAAGGACTTTCTCGCTAACCATCTGAAATTCAATGAAGGTAGAGAAATGAACCAGACATGGATTTGCCAAACCCACTTGTGAGTCTTCAATCTTGAAGTTTTTCCCTTGTAAAATTGATGCTTGATAAAGCATTATTGTCACATTTGGGTCAAGTTGTCCAAGTACATTTTCTAGCATTTCATTTAATCGTTTATTTGAAGAGGGACAGTGCACATTGATGAACATTTAAAACAAATAATGCTTTAAAAACGTAAACATGCCGGATTTTAGCTTTGAGCTAGTTTCCATCCGTAGTCCCTCACATACAACATTTAAGAACATGACATTTATATACATAGCAAAAATAAATACATGATATGCAGAAAGAGCATGAGCAGCATACAAGCATTAACCACATGGCAGTACAATGTAGCAGCTACGAAATATAAAGTGCAGGAGAAGATAAAAGGGCTAGAAAACCATTAAACCATCTTTGCCTCATTGGCCAAGATGTAACAGGGCTCATTGATGAAGACACCCACAGGTACCTGACGGTTGTTAAGAACGGCAGTTGGTATTTCCCTCAAACTCCCACAAGCAGCAACAATTCCACATTAAAAATGTAAACGTTCACAGGTGACACAGGTGACACAAAGTTACTTTGTATCAGTACTTTTTGATTTTATAAGAGATAAAGACTCAAACATCCATGTGAAGTAAGGGGGTCAATTTATTGATGATTAAATATGATGTATCTTTTTGCCAAACAATTCAGTGGGGGCCAAATAAAATTGCTCAGGAGTCAAATGAGGACTAGCAGTATGGCGTGAGATGAAGATCTTGTGTATAAACATGCTTAGCCTTGGCCCAGTTGGCACATCTGTCATCCATCACCTCCTTCCTTTCCTAACTCCGCCTCTGCGATCATCTGTTACTGCATCGTCCATAAAGAGTCTATCCTCTTTACGTTCTGTTAGGTTACCCTGCACCACCTTTGGCATGCACGCACATGCAGCTTACCTACAGCATCTCACCTGCTACTCTTTACCTAAATGTTAATCCTACAGCTGTCCTACGGCCGGAACATCCTCTACCAACCTCAATTGTTGTTGTTGTTGTTGTCGAGGTCCAATAATCTTAACTCCACTGCAGTTAAAAGTGATAAACATTTACACATACATTCTCAAAGTCAGTGATAGTCAGTGAGTCCCTGTATCAACTCAACGACACCTCTGTCTGTCCAGCAAACAAGCTCTTGTTCTAGATGTAGGCGACCCCCTGGAAGCTGATCAGACGCACAGTTGGAAGAATCTCAGATTTAAGAGATGTTACGCAAGAGTCTCCATACTGACACACATAGTGTGCTCAGAGATGGAGCGATGGGTTAATCTACGGGAGGTGACAAGGACAGACACACTTCCTGCAGCTTTAGCTCTCAATCTGATCTGAAGTCACGGTCTTAAATTACTACTTGACGTTTCTAATGATAGAGTTGACCTCAGGCTGTAAATACCTTATTTTTCATAATTTCACAAACAGAAACAGAAAAGAGAAAAGTAGGGTAAAGGAACAAAATAGTGATACAAACTAAAGTAAAACATGTATGCTAAATAATTAGCATAACTAGCAATTAATAAAAAATTAGCAATAACTTCTTCATGCATTTCCCACCGATCACTCATACAAACCACACTTACATAACACACATGCACAGAAACATATTCACATAAAATACATCAATATCTAGCTTTAGAAAATGTTAAACACATACATTAAATATACAACTCAAAGCCTCAGTTTTCTTTATTATATTGTTAATGTCTATACATTGAGGGACTTATTTATGCAATGTAATTTTCTTTCAAAATGTACCAATATATCATATTTAGAACACGATATAAATACAACGATGTACCTTCTTTTACTATGTCACTCACACTGCACTAATAGATATTTTGATTGTAATCTAAAAGGCCTGCAACTGTAATCTGCTGATTATGTTCTCCATTTTTATTTACTGGAACAATGTTGGCATATTTGCGTAAAAGTGATCCAAAGGTTTGATCAATCTTCAAAATATGCAACTCTAATTATAATTTATAATGTAGTATTTTTTCACCTATGCGTTTTTATTCCTCTGGTCCCTTGACAGCATAAGCAGTTGATACTTATCGTATGATTACAAACAACACCTTTAAACATGTTGCCAGAGATTGTCCTCATCAGAAGAATCTGTGATTTCCTAGTGTTCAGGTGTTCTGATATGTATTTCTCACTGTTTCAGATTGCTGTGACCATCGGCCTGCAGTACATCAACAGCTCTCTGTCCAGCCTGGTGAACCCTGAGGACCCAGAGAGCGAGAGCGAGGGCTGGATCCTGGAGAAGACAGTGGGGGAGACGTTCACCGACATCATGGCCAACATGAAGGCAATGAGCAAAGGTGGCAAGGTGGAGGAGGCCGAGGCAGGGGTGGCCACGGTGAGCTGAGCTAACCCCTCCTGCAAAAACTGACACAACTCCCACCTAAAGAGGAGAGGAAGGGGACGAATGAGATCTAAGCGTTTTTTTACCAACATTCATTATGTCGACACTACCACACACAAACATACTCAGCTATGAACTCCTTTCAAAGTGGACCCCTTTCAAATGGAATCCTTGCGTAAATAATTCTATATTCATACATAGAGAGAGATAATGTGTAGGGTGAGTAATGTTGTAATTTTACATTTTGGTTTTTCCTCAACCAATCAAATCCATCTGAGGCTCCAGCCCTGCTTTCAGCATTCTTTTAAAGAAATGTTGGCTCTGTGGGGTTTGGATCTTTACAAAAAAATAAGTAAATGTGATATGTATTGATAAATATCAGATGCTTTGCAATCACGAGTAAAATATTGTAATGTTGTTGGATAGTTTGGCGGGGATGGTGGTTGCTATGCAACCCCCCCTCTCATAGAAGGATGGAAAGTATTTAACAGCCCAAAAGATATTTTATTTTTGATTGACTTCTAGACGTTGGCTTGTAGCTCATAATGGTAACAAATAATATCCACTCAGCTCTTTTTATACTCCAGTCCGTCTTTGTCCCAAACGAAGACTGGATAAGCTCCTGAGATGGAGTAAAATTATCAATTGAATGAATCGGTATGAATAATGCATGAATGTTGCGGCGCATGGTCGATTAGTGAGTCATGGGAACTGGGATGTGAGCCCTGTAGAGAGGCAGGGCCAACTCCAAACCTGTGGAGGGCGACTGAAATTGGCAGCTAAATCTTGGCTCCTGACCCCTGCTCTGTAATCTCAGACCCTCTTTGGTGTGTCCCTTGTGCATTCAGTATCTGTATATTAAGACACATGTATGTAAATTCCAACAACCTGGGTTGCTGTGTTTGTACATAGTGTAGAAATGATGAAATATATTTAACTTTTTTAAATAATGTAATTAAGCTAAATCTTTTATTGAAATCCCTGTAAAGTTTTTTCCATTTTTTTCTTGGCTTTGTGAGTCTGTGTAGAATGAGAATTGTAAAAAGGAATAAAGAATTTTAGAAATTGTATTTGATAGTGAAATAACAACGTTGTATTGTCCCGACCTTGAGTCGCACAAACCTGAGATCAAGAGGCGAGGCATGCTGTGAGTGCCGCAGGGTTCCTGATTAAGTCAATAGGATGAGGCCAATTATGGCATTACTGTTTCACATGGACATTGGATGACTCTTCACATGTCCAGTGTAAGGAAGGGGGGGTTGAACCAGATACATTCACAAACTATAGAGTGAATGTATGTGTTTGCAAGGGACTTTTTCATTTCAATTGGTTGTGTGGTGTTTTGATTTAATGTACAATCTGATATTTCTGTGACTTAAATCCGGTCTATAATGAGCCTTGACATTTAAAGATGGAAAGTAACAAATCCCTTGATCCCTTCAGCACATATGTTGATAAATAGCAACCAACTGTTGATCTCTTGAAACACAGTCCACTATGTTACATCTTAACTGAGCTCGACATACACTGCAAACACATATCAGGAAACCACTGTGTGAAAGTCAGTGTTTTTTAGCTAGAGCAGATAGGGGGCCAGGAAAAGTCAGCTGTAAAGAGGTAAAGAGGCCAACTCTGCGCGGTATTTTTGTTGGAGCAAAGCACATAACCAGCACTGAGTAGATAAGAGGCCTAATCGGCTTTAGATTAGCATGAGCCCCTCAGCCAGGTGAGCAGGTGATATCCTGCTGCTGGACTCACGTCACGGAGTCAGGGACACACAGACAGAGATACAAAGACAAACATGACAGAGTAATGATGGTTTGAGTAACATATGGCATTAATGAATAGATTTGAAACAAAACGTAGAAACAGTGGTGGAAAAATTAGATCCTTTAATTGAGTGAACCACAATGTAATGGTACACCATTAAATCAAAAGCCCTGCATTCAAAAAGTGAAAGTACGGAGTAAAGTCTTCTCTGCCAAACATATACAGTACAAATAAATAAAGATAAGGTATAAATATAAAATAAGTTCTAATTTTGATGCAGTGTATAACTATGGATAATATTAAGGGATCCTATTTCTGGTGCTTTAACTTTTAAACAGTATTTAAATGGAGTTTATGACATAGAGCTAAGTGTGACTGTTTCATATAAGAGTATTTTTATAAATATCAGTTGTTTGATCTGTAACATGCATCGTATTTGAAATGCTCCTATTTTTGTGTATAGTTTCTTTTCTTTTTTTGGAAGTAAATAGTAACTAGCGAAAAGTACACAATTTACTTCCAAATTGTGATAAACTATAGTACTTGAGTACATTTACCAATAAAGATATTGTCAAATATAGAACAGTTTTAATCAGTGGTGGAAGAAATATTAAAAATGCCCTTAAATAAAATTCAAGAAATACTAGCAAATATACCTAAAGTACAACAAGTAAAGAAGCCTACTAATTTTACAGAATTATTTCAGAAAATATAATATTAGTAGATTACAAATGTACTGAGTTACTTATCCCCACTGGTTTAAATGTCAGTTAAGCTTCTGTATGCAGCAAACAACCCATTATTGTCCCAACAACTCTTATGTCATGAACAAACCGCTTCCAAAGTGCTATCAGAGCAACTTCTGTTTGACAGCAAATTGTAAATTTAAGATACATAATTTACCAAATTGCATCCGATGTTGTTTCCAAACAATTCTTTCTCATAAGAAGACACATAGCCCACATAGCCCACATTTGTTAACTATCCTGAAAGGAACACAAACAGGCTGCAAAAACATCCTGTGTGTCTATTGTCTTCTGCTGCTCTCTGTTGGTGACTGCAGGTAATAAAAATACAAATACACTGGGTGTGAATCTAATCCATTGAAGATCTCCGACTCCAGCAATAATATAAAATGTAGTTAGCTTCAGTTGAAAATCTTTTATGCTTTTGTGATCATCTCCCCAACTGTTCTTGCAACAACCTTTACTCCCAGCCTCTCTTCAAATGTAGATTATTTGACTCCAAATATTCTAAACTTTCACTGCGTCATTGACAAATTGCTGGCATGCATCGACACTTTAGGCCTCTGACTGTAAAAGCTTTCAGTTACATTAGAAGTCCACAGGAGGGTGTCTTTTCATCAGTGATGGTATAACAGGGATGACCACCCCACTGTTGAAAATACTTTAAGATGAAGAGCATTTAATACTTCAACGTAATAAATATTAAGATGAAACACAAAAGACAGAATTGTAATGAAGTATATTTCTAAGTAGTATGTCATCACTTTAATTAATAAGATCCCTTTTATTGACACTAATGATCAAAGCACATCTTCCAGCAGCTGAAAACTAAATTTAGACAGGATATAAATATTAGTTTAATCTTTGATTGATGTGTTGATTCTTTTTTGGATTAAGTGTTTAGCATAAAAATGTGAGACGGAGTGAAAAAATGACATTTATTTCCAGATATCATTAGTTGTATTCAACAAACAGACCAAAACATGTCCATGCAATGAAGACTCTGAAATATCAGTAGTATCGATTACGTTTTTAGGGGTTTTCTTTTTCCTGTAGTGTGTTTTATAGGTTTTTGTGCATGTAAATGGTCTGTAAAGGCTAAAATCCCAAAGTTCATGCCAGAGGGAGTTTCTTTCCCACACACTTACCCCCTGCCTGAAATGCCTCCATTATAGTCCTTTGAAAAGTGACATCACTCTGTAACACTCGCGCTTCTATTGGCTAGCACTCCAACACATTGTACGTGATATATGCTAAGGGCCGGGACATCTCTAAGCAGTTGACCAATCACAACGGAGCCGGCCAGCTAACCAATCAGAGCAGACTGGGCTCTGGTTTCAGACAGAGGGTGAAAAGAGGTGCTGCAGCACAGGCACTATGAGAAGAATAAAGACCTTTCTGAACATTAAAGCATGGAAACATGTCATAGAGGCACAAAATACATATGAACCTGAAAAAGCTCAGAATAGGGCCCCTTTAAACGTTATCAAATTAATTGTCAATAAATGGTTTCAGATTTGATTTATGGAATTTATGATTAAACAAATGAATGGCCTACATTAAATCATATATGTGACTGTTTTGCATCCAGAATGTGACTAATAGATGAATGTAAAATGTGTAAAATGTGTAAAATATAAAATAATAATAATAAAATAAGAGGTAGGCTTTCAACCTTTAGCCTAAATGAGTAGAAACTATACAAGAACAAGCTTTACAAGACCCGAAAAAAGTTATGAATTAATTCATATTTTTGAGCGATAAGGAAGTCATGTTTTTGGAGTTATACATGCTCTGATATTAACTGTGGTAACGGGTCGACCTTGACGTTTGAGCCAAAGGTCAGGGACAGTGCTATCACATCCCTCTACACTTCACTACAAGCTGAATAAATATGGCAGACAGAAAGAAAAGCAGAGGCAGAGAGTGAGAGAGAGGCCCGTGACTGGTAGATGTGTGGCCTGCTCAGAGGGGCATTGTTGGAGCTATGAGAGGACAATGCACTGCCCCCGCCCTGAATACTCGCCATACCAGCTGATCAGCCATTACCAACGCTGCTGCTGCCCCGTTACAATTCCTGCTGCTTTCACACGAACACACACACACACACACACACACACACACACACACACACACACACACACACACACACACACACACACACACACACACACACACACACACGTTGCATCCCACTCTGCATCAATCATAAGTTTAGTCTTACAAGGCAAAATCATACACTGTGTATAACAGAGAGAAACCAAGTGGGAGGCCAGCAGCGCCGGACAAAAGGCTTAAGTCAAGGCATGCATGGGCACACATGTTGTCTCGCCACTGTGTGTGTGTGTGTGTGTGTGTGTGTGTGTGTGTGTGTGTGTGTGTGTGTGTGTGTGTGTGTGTGTGTGTGTGTGTGTGTGTGTGTGTGTGTGTGTGTGTGTGTGTGTGTGTGAGTGCACATGTGTGTGATTTACAACACGTTAAGTTTAGCCACTAGCACCTATCTGTTCCCCCTTTAGCAATAACGTTTCTCTTCCAGCCACCCAGAGAGGACCAACGCACACATCACACCTGCTTATTATTTCAGGATCCCTGACAAAAGCCCTGAAAGTGGAAGGGTGTGTGAACAGGAGAGGGGGAGTGGGGTGTAGTAGACAGGGATAGAAGAAGTATTAAGATCATTTAACTGGTAAAATAGCCACATCACAGTGTACAAAATACTTAATCACAGGTCCTTCATTTTAAAAGGGCAGCAGGAGTATCAGCATGATTAAAGGGTGATTGTTAGTGATACATGTAAACAGTACTTAACAGAGTTCTTGTTGGAGCTGGTTTTAACTGGTCCAAATACTGTTTGTTTAATCTACAGAAACAATTACTTGATTAGTAAATAAACAGAAAAATGAAGCAGCAACAATATAGATAAACCATACTGTAGTCAAACTCAACATGTGTTGCCTAGTTGCTGTCAAATAAATGTATAGTAAGATATTGATGGAATCTGAAATGTAGTAGTGGAAGCATAGGCGAAAGTTGCACAAACTGGAAATACTCAAGTTCAGTCCTTTTACCTTCAGAGGTCAGATACTCGGTTACAAGTTAAAGTCCTGCTTTAAAAACGTTACTCAAGTAAAAGTACAAAAGTATTGGCATCAAAGTATACTTAAAGTACCAAAAGTAAAAGTACTCGAAAAGTTGGCCCATTTCAGAATAATAAATTATGTTTTGAATATAATTATTGATGCATTAATGTGTTTATCAAAGTTGGTAAAGGTGCAGCTAGTCTTAATGACTAAAGTCTGATTTAAGAGTTGATTATATTTCACATCATTAATCCAAAAGTAACCGAAGGTATTAAATAAAGTAGTGGAGTAAAAGTACACGATTTACTGATATTGAAACAATATTTAATAACGTAGCATTATAAGATTAAGTACAGTAGTTGAGCAAATGTACTTAGTTACTTTACACCTCTGATTGCCTTCAAATGAACTTTGGAGTGGA